CACCTGGTCCCCCACTTTGTGGGCAATGACCGTGGCTCCCTCCTCCAGTTCTGCGTCATTGGGTGGGCGGATTTGAAGTGCCACCTGCAGGCGGTCACCAGGGCAGCTGCACGGGCCCTCTTCATCCTCGGGCCCCCACCCTGCAGCCCAGCCGCCACCCCGGCCCTCTGGCTCTGGGATCTGCTCAGTCTCCGTGAAGAGGCAAAGGCAGCGGCTCAGCCCCGCACCCCTCAGAGTGGGCTCTGACTTCACTCCCACGGGGCTGCCCATGCCCCCAACAAGACGTGGCTTCCCTCACTGAGCATTTGGGGAGGCTGGGGCACACGGCAGGGAATGCCTGGCCAAGGCCTCACCTTCTGCCCAAGGCCTCACCTCCCGGTCCTGCCACCTCCAGAAGAGACGCTGAGCTCCTTCAGGGGAAACTTCTCCGAGGGGAAACTGTGGGCCTTGCCCTCCCCACTCCCTATTCTGAGGGCCAGATCGCGGCCTCAAACCCACCCCAGCTGCATAGGAGCTGTGGCCCCAGGATGCCCGTTTCCCCCTCTGTAAAAGGGACACAGTTTTTTGGTAGAAACAGCAGCTGTGACTGAGGGACAGTCATGACTGGCATCTCTTCTTATCCAGTTACAGCACTGGGGTAAGTCACCAGCTCAGCTCACCGCTGTCCAGTTGGCAGAGGCTCTGAGTCCCCCAGCAGATGGCCTGAATTGGGCCCGGGGAGGGGGCTGGGGAGCCCGGAGCCCACCCGCCCAGGTGTCAGCAGCATGGGGATTAGGGTAGAGAGGGTGTCTGGAGGCTTAAGGCAAGGATGGGGAGGCGGTGGGGAAGAGCAGGCAGGGCAGCTAGCTTCCAGGGAGGGAAAGTTGAGGAGTAGACTGGGCTGATAACAGAGGGGTTGCTGGGGTTGCAGGCTTGGGAGGCGGCGGGCAGCGGGCACGCACAGTGTGGGGGGGGCGGGGACATGAGGGAGGGCGCTCACCATGAGTGGCTGGTCCTTGGGCTCCATCTCTCTCAACACCACCGGGCTGTCCCGGGCCGGGGAGGGACCTGCGGCCTCGCAGGAGGGCATGGGCAGTAGGACGCACTCCCTGCTATCCCAACAGAGGTGAGACCTGCCTGCACTCAGCCCCGCCCCGCCTAGGTAACATCAGCTGGGCCTCGGGGGAGCCGGGCTGGAACCGCTTAGGTGGTTGGGGCCCCAAGGAGCAGGGTGGCCCTCCCGATCACCTCTGCACACAGGGACAGCAGCCTCTCTCTCCACCCTCACTATGGCAACCCCGGGTTTCCACGTTCCTCACCTGGTGCACATGAGCCGGCCTGACATCCACCAGGACGCAGGTAGAGGGACTGCCCCTCTTCTTTGCAGGGTGGGTCCCTCTCCCACCTTGAGCCCAGGAGAGGCGCTGCCCACCCCAGGACCCCTCACGCAGAGACTAGGATGGACCTGGAGCTTTTCTCCTGAAGCAGACAAATGGCAGCAGCTGAAGCTTCACTCAGCAACTTGAGCAACTTGGACTCCAAGTGCCATTTCCAACGGCGACCACGCTTCTTTTTTTTTTTCCCTGTCACCCAGGCTGGAGTGCCACGGTGCAATCTTGGCTGACCACAGCCTTGAACTCCTGGGCTGAAGTGATCCTCCTGCCTCAACCTCCCGAGTAGCTGGGACTACAGGCGTGCACCACCATGCCCATTATTTTATTTTATTTTGAGACAGAATCTCGCTCTGTCATCTAGGCTGGAGTGCAGTGGTGCAATCTCAGCTCACTGCAACCTTCGCTTCCTGGGTTCAAGCAATTCTCCTGCCTCAGCCTCCCAAGTAGCTGGGATTAGAGGCACCTGCCACCATGCCTAGCTCATTTTTGTATTTTTAGTAGAGACGGGGTTTCATCATGTTGGCCAGACTGGTCTCGAACTTCTGACCTCAGGTGATCTGCCTGCCTTGGCCTCCCAAAGTGCAGGGATTACAGGCATGAGCCACCATGCCTGGCCCACGACCACGTCTCTGATGCACTAGGCGTGATCTCCTCCGCTTTCCCAGTCAGTGCTCAGATTCGCTGTCAGGTGTATTCAACACCTAAAGACTGTGCTCAACTTTTCCACTGCAAGCCCGGGTGCGGGGGGGACGCCGAACTGTGAACCCACACCCCAAGGTCACCTTACCCCACCAGGCTGCACTAACCAGAGTGCAGGACGACACTGCCCAGAGCCAGGGTCGGTGCCAAGCACAGAAACCCACTCCTGCACTGACAGAGATCACACCAAGGCCAGGCCGGGCGTGATGCATGCCTATCGTCCCAGCTACTCAGGAGGCTGAGGCATGAGAATCTCTTGAACCCGGAAGGCAGAGGCTGCGGTGAGTTGAGATCATGCCACTGCACTCCAGCCTGGGCAACAGAGCAAGACCCTGTCTCAACACACACACACACACACACACACAAAAAAGGAAAGAAATCACGCTAAGATTAGATCCAAGCTGTTCAAACCTGGCAAGTCCAACTTCATGATTCTAACTATGGAGTTGAAAGGGCCTGGGGGTCCATGCCCGCCAGAGTAGGCGACTCAAGCCCTCCCAAGAGCCACCGTGCCTTTCCTATAAGCCAACTGCCTGGCAGCTCAGCTGGGCAAGGCCAGGGCATGTTTGGCCACATCCCTCTTCCTTGGCATCCGGGTCAGTGCTGTGCTGCAGGAAACCCCTGCCAGGTGGATTTGGCAAGGATGGGGCGACACCTCCAACACCCACGTCCCTTTCCTCTACGAGGATGAGGCTCCAGCGTCTGACCAAGGCACTTGCCAGGAACACAGCTATGGGTCCCCGCGTTCTTGCCTGCTTTGGCCTCCCGAAACACAACCAAGGCCGTGCCTGCAGTAGGGGTCCCAAGCCCACCCTGACGTCCTGAGCCTGCCAGCCCTGGGGACCCTGATACCCAGGAAGTCCCTCCGCAGCAGACGGGCTCTGGGAGATCCACGTCTACCGTAGCAAAGTTAAAACTAACACGAGGGCTTCAGAAATCTTTTATTTATGAATTATATGCAACAATGAAAACTAGTACATTTAAAAGTGGGAAGTTAATGTTTTTAGAAGGTCTGTTCTACCATGACAGTTCTACCACAATCTGTCATGTGGTAGAACTCTTGTGTCTTTCTTCTTTCCATGAAATCAGAAAAACTGTTTCTTGGTACACTAGAGTTTAAGCAGCGTGAGTGTAAACAAGAATTACTAATAAAATGTGCACCGGAGGCCGGGTGCGGTGGCTCACGCCTGTAATCCCATCACTTTGGAAGGCCAAGACGGGCGGATCACGAGGTCAGGAGATCGAGACCATCCTGGCTAACACGGTGAAACCCCGTCTCTACTAAACAAATACAAAAATTAGCCGGGCGCGGTGGCGGGCACCTGTAGTACCAGCTATAAGGGAGGCTGAGGCAGGAGAATGGCTTGAACCTGGGAGGCGGAGCTTGCAGTGAGTGGAGATGGCGCCACTGCACTCCAGCCTGGGCGACAGAGACTCCGTCTCAACAACAACAACAAAAAAAAGTGCACCGGAGGGACACAGGACAAACGGCAGGATTGCAACCATTCTACAATTTTAGAATCGCAGATGAGAGAAACGTAGGGCTCGTAAAAAAGAAAATGCACCAAGGCACCCTCCACACACCTGGGAGACCGTGGGACCCGAGGCTCTAGGCCACTCCTCCAGGGCGGCAGGCGCCTGGGTCCTCTGCCCCGTGAATTACAGCCCCTTCATCTCCAGACGTTGCCTTAGGTTTGTAAACATCCCTTGGCTGTGAGTTCTGAGTGCTGCCTCAGGTCTGACAAGCTGAAAAGAGGTGGATGAAACTGCAGGGTCACAGGTGCTGCTGGGAAGTGAGACCCTGTAAACAGGAGGGGCTGAAATTCCCCCAATTTATGTGCTCCTTTCCCAACAGGAAACAATTTCAAGATGACCGCATAAAAATGGGCAGAACTGGCCGGGCATGGTGGCTCACACCTGTAATTCCAGCACTGTGGGAGGCTGAGGCAGGAGAATCGCTTGAACCCAGGAGGAGGAGGAGGTTGCAGTGAGCCAAGATCGTGCCACCGCACTCCAGCCTGGGCGACAGTGCGAGACACCGTCTAAAAATTAAAAAACGGGCAGAACTGACCATTCTCAATACAAGTTTCCCAACATGTCTAAGTCCAGGGAAAAGTCACACGGTTCTCACCACGGAAAACGACCAGCATCTTTCACAGAAAACAACACAACCGAAGAGACTGGTGTGCCTAGTGCATCGCCGGACACAGGGTGGCCAAGTGTGTGTGACGACTGGACAGGACAGGGCCCTGCGGAGGTCTGGCTGGGCAAGCAGGCCCTTGCCACTGGGGAGGGAGGCAGGCACCAAGTTCAAGGTCACTATCTACATTCAAAGAGAGGAGAAAGACGGGTGTTTCATACAAGTTTGCTTTTATTTCCACGTTCAACCTGTGGAGAAAACCGGCCACAACCTGCACGGTGGGGGTATGAGGCATGGCGGCGCCCTCCCGGTGGGTCTCCGGGACACGTCCAGCACTGCCCGCGATGGGGATGCAAGTCCTTCAACGGAAACGCCGCTCAGCTGTGTACAGGCACCGTGGAAACATCACTGGGCGCAGAAGGTGCTGCCGGCGGTGTTGCTAAGAGTCTACAGAGCCAATACCAGTGGTTCCGACAGAAAACTCCAAACAAGAAAGAAGTGGGCCGGGCGTGGTGGCCCACGCCTGTAATCCCAGCACTTTGGCCGAGGCGGGCGGATTACGAGGTCAGGAGATTGAGACCATCCTCGCAAACACGGGGAAACCCCGTCTCTATTAAAAATACAAAAGATTAGCCGGGCGAGGTGGCAGGCACCTGTAGTCCCAGCTACTCGGGAGGCTGAGGCAGGAGAATGGCGTGAACCCGGGAGGCGGAGCTTGCAGTGAGCCGAGACTGCGCCACAGCACTCCAGCCTGGGCGACAGAGCGAGACTCCGTCTCAGGAAAAAAAAAGAAGAAAGAAGTGGAAGCGGGTGCCTTAAACACCCCACTGCAGACACCAGGGGCTGAAAGGCACAAAAACGTGTCGCAATGGCAGAATCCAGGCGCGGTCACAGTCCAGGGCCACAGAGCACGGGGAGGCGGCGGCAGTCACGTGGGCTTCCTGCAGGACGGCCTCGGCTCCACACACCACACGCGGCTGCACTGCAACAGAGGAACTGCGGCTCACGCTCTGTCCTGCAGCTCAGTGCGGGAGCAGCGGGTGCAGTCTGCCCCCTGGACAGGCACGCATGGCGGCCCTAAACAGCACCTCAAAATGCTGAGGGAGCCCCTGAACATCGCCTTGGGGCTGACGTTGAGTCCCGCAACAGGAGCCGCCCTGGCCACAGAGAGCCGAGCCCATATGCCACCCCTACTCACTCATGGTCCCGTCCTGAGGACAGCAACCAGGCCACCCTCAGACACCCCACTAGGCCTTCTGTCCCACACATGCCCGTGCTGTGAGGCACGGAGGCCCCCAGGACTCAGGAGCTCCCGCACTCTGCTCCCCAGCCCCCGACTTGGAAGGCTCCTCTCAGAACTGCCAGAACCAGAGTCGCAGCCGCGCACGCCAGCGTTTCTGTCTGGTGGACACACCGCGGCCGTCACTAGCACAGGCGTCAGGAAATGGCCAGGCACGGCCACCCTCCTCTTCCTAGCACTTCCCAGCACCTGGCCACGGCTCCTCCCTCACCCAGCATGGCCTGAAAGGCATCATCTGCGATGTGATCAGAGGGAGCAGTCGAGGCCACGTCAGCACCGACTCCACATTTCACACGAGGCTCAGCTAACCCTGGGCACACGACACTGGGGCTTCACCTCTGCCTTAAAGAAGGTGCTTTCTCAGTGATGGGATAACAGAAGCAGCTGAGAGCAGCCAACGGGGACCCCGCCGCGCCCCCTGCAGATGCTCACCACAGTGCTCCCAGGTCACTCCTGGTTCCCAAGAGGGATGATTTCCTCAGTGACGAAGAACTCTATGGTCTCCTCTTCCCAGTCATCCACGTTGCTGTCCAGCTCGTCAGTGTCCACACCTGAGAGGACAAAGGGCGCAGGTCACCCACGGGGGCACATGCCGAGTGGCACCACCGAGGCCAGTGGGAAGAACGCAGGAGTCCACGTGCACCGTGGCCTGTGGGCGGTGGAAGGGCCAGCTCCTGGTGACGGAGGGATCTCTACGTTACCTCCTCGCAACTCCAGGCGCTCGTTTTTCTGCTCCATATAGAGCTCCTGGGCCATTTTTCGGTACTTCCGGAAGTCTTCCATCATGGTGCGCCTTCTCTCCACCAATTCCTATGCGTGAGGTTAGGGAAAGCCACAGAACTGGTAAGACACGTGCCTCCCCATCGCGAAGAGCCCACACCCAGGTGGACAGTGCCAGCATGACAGCATTTGGAGGCGCTCAAGCAGGAATGGCCGCTCCATTCGTTTTTACTTTTCCCTCATTCTCACTCTTCCCCCAACACTGTCCCCCGCCCACAAGGCAGCAGTGAGGTCGCAACTCCAGGCCCCCGTGCCAGCCCCAGTTCCCCACTGCATTCCTCCTAGGGGAGAAACAGAACCAGTGTCTTCAGGGCAGAAGCAACTCTGCGCACACACACAGCGCCGCCTGCAGCCCTGATGCGGGCCCGCCTTTGCCGGGGCGGCAGATGTCCCAGCACGGCCCTCCCTTTGGGGAACAAGGCTCACCTTTGAGGCTTTGGACTGGCTCAAACGATCCTTCTGTTCAAAGATCTTTGAGTATTTCTTCAGATCCTTTTTAATTTGCTGAAACAAAAGACCCGCCACTCAGGATTTAACATTCCAAGCAAGAAGCACAAATGCAATCTTCAGAGTTGCCGACATGAGGTGATACCCAGGGTCATTCATAGAACAGCTTCCCAGGAGTGCTCGCGCCCGCTCCTTCCTCCATCTTTCTTCAGACTTTCTTCCTGGGATTTAACCCTCCTCCTCGCTCTGACCTATCGGCCTATTTTACCACAATTATGTAAACCCCCGACAAGCCGCTTCTATTCCCACCAGGACTTTTTATTTTTTTATTTTTTATTTTTTTTTTTTTTGAGATGGAGTCTCGCTGTGTTGCCCGGGCTGGAGTGCAGTGGCCGGATCTCAGCTCACTGCAAGCTCCGCCTCCTGGGTTTTTACGCCATTCTCCTGCCTCAGCCTCCCGAGTAGCTGGGACTACAGGCGCCCGCCACCTCGCCCGGCTAGTTTTTTATATTTTTAGTAGAGACGGGGTTTCACCGTGTTAGCCAGGATGGTCTCGATCTCCTGACCTCGTGATCCGCCCGTCTCGGCCTCCCAAAGTGCTGGGATTACAGGCTTGAGCCACCGCGCCCGGCCTCCCACCAGGACTTTTTAATGGCCCTGGTATCTTTTCATCTACCCCACGGGTTCATGCAAAACTCCCCTAAACAAGCTGGAGACCTCAGGCTACTCTCCTAGAGCTGTTCTATTCCATTCAGTTCTCACTGCTCCTGCATCTCTTCAAGGCGTCCTTGCAAATGTCACGTTTCTATCCCCCACTCACCACCCTAACAATAACAGAAAAACTGACTACTTTTCAATGCCACAATCGCCTCCAGTGCCCTGCAGCGGGCATGGGGGGACGCTGACCTTGATCTGCTCCTGGCTCAGGAGCGTGGGAGGCCGGGGCCGCCACAGCAGCTGGCAGAAGCGGTCCTTGTTGTTCTTCTGCAGAAGGCGGCCCTGGAAAGTCCACAGCCAGTATGCGTTGTCCACCTAGGCGAGGGCAGGGCCACACCAGGACACAGAGGGATCAGCAGAGCCACAACTGTGACTATGTCACTGCTGCACAAGGTCCTGGGTATCGGGGACACGTGTGAAGCAAACAAAGCTCTGCCTGTGCAGAGCCGACAGCAGCGGAGGTGGGCAGTCAGTGAAAGACACCTCAGTGATGCAGTCGACCCAGAGTGCAGGGCACAGAGCAGTCGCAGCAGCGCTCATCACAGCACAGGCCTGCGCGGTCCTGCTGGCAACACGAACCCCATGCTGGACGGAAGCTAACTGCACCACCACGCGCCGCTGCACCCCACGCCAGATGTAAGCTGTGCTGAACCCGGGACTGGATGGAAGCTAACTGCACCACCACGCGCCGCTGCACCCCACGCCAGATGTAAGCTGTGCGGAACCCGGGACCGGATGGAAGCTAACTGCATCACTGCGCTGCTGAGCCCCGTGCCGGGTGTGAGCTGTGCTGAGCCCCCTGCCGGGTGTGAGCTGTGCTGAGCCCCCTGCCGGGTGTGAGCTGTGCTGAGCCCTCTGCCGGGTGTGAGCTGTGCTGAGCCCTCTGCCGGGTGAGAGCTGTGCTGAGCCCTCTGCCGGGTGTGAGCTGTGCTGAGCCCAGTGCCGGGTGTGAGCTGTGCGGAACACTGTGCCGGGTGTGAGCTGTGCTGAAGCCTGTGCTGGATGTAAGCTAACTGCATCACTACGCGCCACCAGGCTCCGCCCTCTTCACAGCAGGCCTCTCTCATGAAGGAGGGCGCACTCGCTGGCCCTCGGCATAGACATCTTGTTGCAGCCCGGCATTTTGGGAGCTAAGTGTTTATACCTCAAGGAGAGTGGTCAACAAATTAAAAGGTCTTTTTTATTTTTTTTAAATGGGGCTAGGGTTTCGCTGTTGCTCAGGCTTGTCTCAAAACTCCTGGGCTCAAGTGATTCTTCTGCCTCTGCCTCCTAAAGTGCTGGGACAACCGGTGTGGGCCACTGTGCCTGGCCTAAGGTGATTTCAAGGGTTGAGGTGGGCCCCACCGAAATGACATCTCAACGTATCTGAACAGAGGCTGCCATCAACATATCCTCATTCCAACATCAAGATTTCTAACTCTCGACACTTGTAGTCGTATTTGGGAAGTTGATACTCCTAAGAGTTCTGTATCTCATTAAACAAAATTACCCGAGTTTGGTCTCACAGGCTCTATTTACATGGACTGGTTCAAGTGTCAATACCTCCATCAATGTTTTACAAGTCATTAAATACTGAAGGTCCTCGACAAATTTAACCAGCAGTTTTGGAATAAGCGTTGTGGGCAACGCAGCAGCTGGACTCAACCAATGACCCCAAAGAGATCTTAATGTCTGTGGTTACAGAACTTTGTTCAGACTTCAAAGGAAGTGACTCCTCTCTGCAGAAAAACACTTGTGTATGACACATTCTCACTCCCTTTCAAGGGTCCCCAGGCCCAGGGTAAGACCCCCACCCGCCCTGCAACCATGAGCGGGAGCTGCTCCTGCACTCGGCGCCACCTCTTCTACAACCCAGAATCCTCCTCCTCCTGCCACGAACACCAGCCAAGGCTTCTGTTAAACACAGAGGCTTGTGCCCCTTCCCCGAGGTCCCATGACAGCACCAGAGTCAGCAGCCAGCCGGCAATCCCTGCTTCTATCCACAGCCAAAGCTATGCCCACGGGCCTGCACCTTATGGCTCCACCAGGACACAGAGGTGACGACGTAGCGTCCGGTGGGATCCCACTCGACGTCGGAAGCCATGTAGTGCTCTGCGATGTTCATGACCGTGCAGTCCGAAGTGTCCACAAACGCTAAGGCACCATTCATACTGCAGAGACAGACAGGACCGTCAGGCTTCATGGAGACGCGTACCTCCTGGCATCCCACTCCTGAGAGGTGCTGCAGCATGGGGTCCCCAGGGAGCCAGCCTCGGCATTAACATGGAAACAAGCACGGCAACAGCCTCTGGTGGCCACCGTGAGACGTACCAAGTCACAGATGCAGAGTGTGTGGTGAGTAGTACACACGTCTGCCATCACTATTATTTTTACTGGAAATGTTATCTGGGGCTAAGTAAGCCTTCAAAAATACAGCAGCAAGTGTGGACAATGAAGCAAGGGAGAGCAGCAACAAAAGGGTACTCTTTAAGCTGGAAGTTTCTCCACGATTTCGACACACTGCTGGAACACAGCTGAGACCAGCACGTGACACAAACCACAGAGGTAAGGCAGCCTCACAGCTGTGTAACGAATACCCTTCCTGCTAGAAGACACGGGACTGAACCCCTGGGGGTGGTAACTGGATTGCTGGAAGGCACTTGTTTAACCACGAAGAACCACAACTCGCAGACGGGTCTGCCTGGTCACTTCACGAAAGCATCTGCGAGAGCTTATTTCTTCTTTTTTTTTGAGACGGAGTCTCACTCTGTCACCCAGGCTGGAGTGCAGTGGCGCGATCTCAGCTCACTGCAAGCTCTGCCTCCTGGGTTCACACCATTCTTCCACCTCAGCCACCCAAGTCACTGGGACCACAGGCGCCTGCCACCAAGCCTGGCTAATTTTTTGTATTTTTAGTAGAGATGGGGTTTCACCGTGTTAGCCAGGATGGTCTCGATCTCCTGACCCCGTGATCCACCTGCCTCAGCCTCCCAAAGTGCTGGGATTACAGGCGTGAGCCACCGCGCCCCGCACAAGCGCTGATTTCAATCTATCCTGGCTTGGCCCGAGTCCTGGAGTGCCATGGGTCCGCAAAGGTTCATAAAGTCCCATTCACTGACACCGGGGTAATCCTCTCAGTGCACAATACTCCCTCTACCAAGAAGCTGGTGCAGGCGCCTGAGGGTCTCTGCCACAGCAGGCCGAGTGCTGCTCACAAGGCGGACAGGCTCAGAGCGCGTACACCTACCTCCTCAGGCCCGCCAACACCACGAACTGTCCTTGGGGGCTCCAGAAGATGGTGTTTGCTTGCTGCTTGTCGAACATCTCTGAAAGGAAAGAGAGCGCCCGTCACGAGCTGCGAGGCTTCCACGGTGCCGGGGCCGCCAAGGCTGGAGGACTTGGCTGTAGCTCAAGCTGCCCACGTGGGCAGAGCCAGTAATGCCGAACCACCTCGGAAAAGTTTTACAAAGTCCATCGCTAAGTACCCCGAGTCACAATCCACACTTTAAATGGGAAAAAAAAAAGAGAAGATATGACAGGGGTACTTCAAAACAAGACTATCTTATTTCCTGAGGTAACTGGACAAAGAATTCCCTTTACGGCAAATGTTCACTGCTGCAGGGTCCCCAGCAGGGAGAAGACGTCAGAGATACGTGACCCTGAAAGACTAAAGCCACTCTCCTAGCGACAAGGCGTCTTTGGATAAGCTATGCTTGTTGAAACTGACTAGTCATCACCTTTCCAGGTACTAACTCTTACTTCCAGGAGGGATCTCAGGCAGAGCCACGGGAGCGGGGAGAAGGCCAGCTGGGGCTGGGCTCAAGTCCCCCTCAGAGCACATGCTCCCTGCGTCTCAGACAGAGCTGACAACCTGTGGCCTCTCTCTCCTCAGCCTGCGGTACATCCAAAAAAAGAGGCATGGGGCAGGCTGATGTGGGGAGAAGGGGAGGAGACGGGGCAGGGCAGTGTACCCCGGCAGGGGCAGGGGTCCAGACTTGTACAAACGAAAACCCCAACAGTCACGGGAAGGTGACAGAGCCCACACAGTGGCCCCAGAGTCCATGCCAAACCTCAGGAGAGCCATGTCACACTACACGTTTGGAAGGTACAAGGTGCCTCTGCTTGCCGTACGTTTTATGACCTAGAAGACTTACGCAAGTCTCTGGACAGTCTGCAACTGCCCATATGTTTACATCAACCGGAATTAATGAAACAGCCAATTGTGATCCACTGCCAACTGAGGGCACCACACACCCTGCCAAGCTCTAGCAAAGTGAAAACTAAACTCCTCACAGAATCATGCTGCGAAAGGTGCGGCCAGGAGATTCCAACCCCTTTCAAGTACAGGGCCAAACCCATGGCTCTGCAGGAGGACACCTGGCAGTCAGAGTCCTGTGGGTGAGGAACACAGCCCATCACCACCTCCCGGCTGCCACACACATACCACGCTTGTGAAGCAACAAGCAATGGCTCATTCAATCCCCGCGGGCACCGGGCTCTATGCTGAGCAGAGACCCCAGGATGAAGTGAGGAGCTGAGGGCACAGGCGGCAGCTACCATGAGACGGGAGAGCGTCCCCACACCACTGAGGAGCGAGCCCCAGGTGGGTGCAGTGTGGTGCCCCTGGAACCAGGTGCACGGGGCAGGGCACAGCCGTGTGCAACAGCTCTGCACACCCTGGTCAGAGGCACCCGACTCAGACTGGGGACTGGCAGGAGCATGTCCACAGGAAGTGACCCTGAGCCCAGGGACGACAGCTACAGCCAGAAGGGAAAAAGCTTCACTCCAGACGATGGCAGAGAATGGAAGCCTTAGAAATACTTGCTGAAACGTGAGGGCCCAACGGGGCTCAGAGAAGCACCCCACAAGGAGGCAGCACCTCCAGGCCATCGCTCACTTCATCAGCCAAGCCCACAACGCCCCACTCATAGGCGAGTCCCGGCCTGCCCAGCAGTGGTCCTAGGCCAGTCAAATGCTCACTGCTGGGCAGAAACTGAGTCATGATCCATGCTGACCTGTTCAGAAGAGAAAAAGGGACTAGGCTACTTACTGATGAGTTCAATTTTCCCGTTGTTTTTGACGTGGTAGAAAGACACAGATATCCGCGGAGCCTCTCCATGCAGCACGGCAAACTTACTTCCATTTGGTTCCCAGGCAAAGGCTATGATGGTTTCTAAAATGGACAAAACAGACCACTTCCTTTTTAGTCAACTCAGAACACAATGCTCTTGATCAGTTAAAATGTTCACTACTTAACCACAGAGAAATATCCTCCAACGTTTAAAAGTTCATTAAAAGGACCAGAGAGCAAGCAACAGCAGGGAAGGTGCACATTCCTGGAGTTTCAGAGACAGCTGCTTCCACTCATGTGGAGAGACCTATGTGAAACTGCTCTCTCCCTGAGCGGGACACCGGGACCCCCGTGGCGGGACCCCCAAGGCAGGACGCTCACAGCGGGACCGCAGGAGCCTGACGTGAGCAGCTGTGGGCGCTGCTTCCCTCGCATCCAGTGTGGCACCTACAGTGGGATCCTCACTTCCAGTCTCCTACCTGGAAAGGTGGCCAGGTTTCACGTTTTCTCACCTCTCTATTTTTGTCCTTCCTTCCTCCTTTTTTCCATGGCAAAACAAAAAGCCTAACCAGAACACAGGCTCAATCTCTTCTCTCTTTTTTTTAGACAGGGTCTTGCTCTGTCACCCAGGCTGGAGTGCAGGGGCGCAATCTCAGTTCACTGCAACCTCTGCTCCTGGGCTCAAGTGATCCTCCCACTTCAGTGTCTGGAACAGCTGGGACTACCGCTGCCCACCACGCCTGGTTAATTTTTTTATTTTTTTTTTGTACAGAGAGGGTCTCACTACATTGCCCAGGCTCTAAACACGTTCTATGACCTGGAGATGGCTACTCATGGTGCGGGCTCACAGTCCTGACTCCGTTGCTCAGACAATCCCTTGCATGGAAGTGTTAAAAGCCAAGAGTAAACAGCACAGAGGCCCCATTCACCTCAAAGTGACTAAAATACAACTTGCCTTTCATTTCGACCACATCCACAGGTACCTGTTTCTCCCTCATTCGGAAAATTTCAAAATTTGTGACAACACCCTGTATAAAAAAAAGGGGGAAGGGGTGACATTTTGGACAGTGAAACTATGAGACAAAGGTTCAAATCAAAGGTCAACTTCACAACGAAAGATTCAGTGTGCACGCTTGGTTCACACACACGAGCATCTGCAGTGATAAAAGAAACAGCCCTCAGGACGGAAGACGGTTCAGTTGGAGGGTAACTGCCGGCGCCACGTCTACCGGCAGCCACTGGACATGCACGAAGTAACTCTGACCCAGATCCCACCTCCAGAAGCCACCCTGCCCGCCACACTCGGGCACAAGCAGTCCCAGGGTCCTCACTGCAGCCTGCGGACCAGGATCCCGAGGGCCATAAAGGCTCACCAATGGGGCTGGTTAGACCGTTTCAGACAGTGGGGTGTCCGGTAGCCATAACCTTCAAGAAGTCCTGCCCTCCTCCAGCAGTCTAAGGGGAAACTGCCCTGACGTCCATCAACAAAGGAAGGAGGCCAAGAAATGTGGTCCACCAGACAAGAGATTACCGTTCAGACTCAGCACCACGGACCAGCCGTGGGAACACTGAGCTATGTGAAGATCAGACACAGAAGGCGGCGTACTATCCGATTCCAGCTGTGTGTCCAGAACAGGGAAATCACTGACATTCGTGATGCCAGGAGCTGGGCAGAGAAGCTGCTAATAGGCATGGTGTTTCTTTGTAGGGTGACAAAAACATTTCTTATTTTTTATCTTTTAAAAATTATCTGTAGACATGGGGTCTCACTGTGTTGCCCAGGCTGGTATGAAACTCCTAGTCTCAAGCTATCTTCCCTCCCACCCCGGGAGCCACCGCGCCCAGCCGATGAAAATGTTCTGAAATGAGTGGTGCTGGCTGCACAACTCTGAACACACAAAAAGCCACTGAACCAGTTCGCCACTCTAAAGGGGTGTTTTAAGGCATGTGAATTACCTATCAATTAAAACTTTTTTAACACAAAACAAAGAGGAATACTTCCATTAGAGGGAAAACTCAGGAATTTTTTTTTCTCTTTTTTTTTGAGACAGAGTCTGGCTCTGTCGCCAGGCTGGAGTGCAGTGGCGCAATCTCTCAGCTCACTGCAACTTCCGCCCCCTGGGTTCAAGCAATTCTCCTCCCTCAGCCTCCCGAGTAGCTGGGATTACAGACACACGCCACCATGCCCAGCTAATTATTGCACTTTTAGTAGAGATGGGGTTTCACCATGTGTGCCAGAATGGTCTCAATCTCTTGACCTCGTGATCTGGCCACCTTGGCCTCCCAAAGTGCTGCGATTACAGGCATGGGCCACTACACCCAGCCAACTCAGGCAATTTTTTTGATAAAATAAGTATTAAATGATCAACCACCAAAAAAAAAAAAAAAAATCTGGGTATACTACTCTTTGTGCTCAGAAAGACAACAGTATTCTCAGCTGGGCACAATGGCTCACGCTTGTAATCCCAGCCCTCTGGGTGGCCGAAGTGGGCGGACCTGAGGTCAGGAGTTCAAGACTAGCCTGGCCAATATGATGAAACCCTGTCTTTACTAAAAACACAAAAATTAGCCGGGCCTGGTGGCGGACGCCTGTAGTCCTAGCTACTTGGGAGGCTGAAGCAAGAGAATCGCTTGAGCCCAGGAGGTGGAGGCTGCAGTGAGCCAAAATCGCGCCACTGCACTACAGCCTGGTGACAGCGAGACTCCGTCTCAAAAACAAACACAACAAAATAAAATCCATTAACAACCTCCAAACAATACGGTGGCCACTTCAGAGCTCAGGATAACGAATCGCCAGTTCCCGAGGGAATCTACATACTTGGGTGCCTTTCGGAGTCCTATCTACTTTCACACACAAGTAGTCTCCGTTCTTCTGCCAGTGGAGCTTGCAATCCACCACGTTGAACAGGTTCCTCACGCGGATCTCTTGCCTGGTAGGGAGCTGCATCAGGGTTACCCTGGCTGGAATATCTTTGTCTTCAGGCACCCAGAAGGCGATTATGTTACCACCAGGAGACCAAGAAAAGTCTCTGCACGACAGGAAAATAAAACGCTAAAGCAAAGGCCAAGTGATGAAACTGAAAAGCAGAAGAAAATAAAACAACTCATTTGCTATACAGAAGCTCAATGCTGTTATAACTGACGCTGAGCACTCCCTCCGCGCAGCTTCACAGGTCCTCGCCAGGAGCCTGGGGCACTACCGCGCTCACTGTGACGGGGAATGAATGCAGACAGAGTATTAGCAACCCCACCATCACACACAGATTCATAGGGACTCCAGCCTACGCTCTGTCAGCCCACTCTTAAGACACCGCACACTGCTGCTCTGACGCAAGTAAGTTGTAGGCTGGTTGACCCGGCTATTACGTCATCTGAAGATTAATTAGGGTGCAAATGGGGAAACCGGCAAATCAAGCATAAGGAATGAACAAGAAAAAGGGCAACTCCCTCCACTGTATCAACCTCTCTACAGAAAAGCTGCTGTAAGGAACGAACGATCCTGAGCTCACCTACATGAAAAACAGCTTTATACACGCTATGTGCTGTTTTGCATTTACTGAGAATGAACGTCCTGGTCTTCTCATTTTATAAGCCATAATTTTGCCCAAGAATGTAAAAATGAAAGAAGACACGTTGATGTCCTTGGATTGCTGGTAGTTCACTGCTATAATACTGACCAGTCCCAAGTTTTCCGATAAATAAAAACGTGCCCATTCTTTGATGGTGAAAATAAGCTGAAGGCTCCCCAAACTCTGCCTCAGACAGAAGAACAATAGGAAAACCTTTCGCCTAAGCAGAGTCCCCTCTCTTCCTTAAGGCTGGAAACCCCCCTAGTTTCTAGGTCAAAGACAAGGTAAATGGAAGGAAGCCGACTCAAGGCTCTGGCCTTGAAGATTCATTTCTGGGCACAGGAAAGGGGTCACTGACGTGGTGCCTTGAGGGTGGTGGGCCCAGCACTGAGCAGCCTTGCCCATCGACCCAAGCCTCCATCCTGGCGTCCAGAACAAACTCACCTTAGGCTGGGCATGGTGGCTCACACCTGTAATCCCTGCACTTTGGGAGGCTAAGGCGGGCAGGCGGATCACTTGAGGTCAGGAGTTCAAGACCAGCCTGGCCAACATGGTGAAACCCCGTTTCTTCTAAAACATACAAAAAATTAGGCGTGGTGGTGGTGCGCCTTTTAATTCCAGCTACTCGGGAGGCTGAAGCACCAGAATCGTTTGAACCTGGGAGGCGCACCACTATACTCCAGCCTGGGCAACAGAGCAAGACTGCTTCTCAAAAAAGATTTAAAAATGGCTGGGTGTAGTGGCTCACGCCTGTAATCCCAGCACTTTGGGAGGCTGAGGTGGGCGGATCACTTGAGATCAGGAGTTCTGAGACCAGCTTGGCCAACACAGTGAAACTGTCTCTGTGAAAAATACAAAAATTAGCTAGGCATGGTGGTGGGCACCTGCACTCCCAGCTACTCGGGAGGCTGAGGCAGAAGAATCACCTGAACCCAGGAGGTGGAGGTTGCAGTGAGCGGAGATCATACCACTGCACTCCAGCCTGGGTGACGGAGCAAGACTCTGTCTCTTTAACAACAAAAAAAAGCTGAGTGCTAAAGGAGAGAGCGCAAATAAAGGAAACCAACTGCAATGGACCACGTCTGTGTCCTCCGAATTCACAGGGTGAAATTCTAACCCCCTGGGTGATGGCATGGGGTGGGGCCTTTTGGGGGTGGGAGGTCCTGAGGGTGAAGCCCTCGGGAATGAGATGACAGCTTTTACAGAAGAGGCCCTGGAAGCCTTCTTCCGGGAAGGCTGGACTGAGGGGCCGTCCATGAGGAGGGAGGTGGGCCCTCACCAGATGGTCTGCAGGCACCCTGACCTCGGGTTCCCAAGCTCCAGAACTGGGAGAAAGAAATCTCTGCTGTCATAAGCCACCCCGCCTATGGTATTGTGTTAAGCAGCCTGAACACAAGAAGACACCAAATTGATAAGAATACTCACTTTATCCCAGAGATCTTCAAACTCTTCTTGTCCAAAAGACCCATAGACTGCCCAAAAAAAAGGAAGGCTAAAGTTGAGTCAAATCATGTTAGTGTCTCAGAAGCACACTTAACTTTTTACAAAAGGAAACCAGAGTCTGATGTGAGTTTGCCTAGAGGGCAGCGCACACAGAGGATGACAATGATTCCACCCACCCACCCACCACCGAGAACTGCAGTTCTGAAGCCCACTGCATGAACTCTCATCCAGGACCCCCCACGGCTGCGCCGGGGGGCAGGAGTGACTGAAGAGCTCTGCCCAGAGCAAGGTTTGTTAAAAAGGCACAGGAGACAGGACTTTCCTACGCATCTGTGAAACCTCCTCCTCCTCTTCTAGCACAAATACGGAAAAGCACCACACCCCAGTTACAAGCAAGGATGGGACAGGGCGTTTTCCATCACCGGGACCACTTACAGGAGTTTCATAGATGCTAAGCGTATCCAGGGTCATTCTGGCAAAGAATTTGCCATCGTGGCTCCACCTAAGAAGAAGAAACAGAAATGCCAAGGTGTTCCAATGAAAAGACAAAGGCTACAGAGCTCGTTACAATGGTCCACTTACTTAAAAATAGGCCAATGGGCTGAGCTCTCACAGTGAAAACCTCTCTTCTTGTGCCCTGTAAGGATGTCCCAGATGATTATGGCCTGAGGGTCATCCTGCGTGTCCATCAGGGGGCTAAAGGTCACCAGGTACCTAGAAGAGAGGGGCCACACTGTATGCTACCCTCCTCTCACGAGAGGATCGCAGTCTGTCTGTGCGGCCAGAACACGCGGTCAGAACTCGTGGAACCAACTCTCTCCCGCAACCCCACACTGCCCGGCCCCAAGAGTTCCAAGCGGAAGAGGGAAGCAGCAGCGCTTGTTCATTCTGGTGTCAATACACTGCAGACACTCTGGTTTCTCCAAGATCAGCACAGAAAGATCTCACAGGCCCCACACAAAAGGCTGCTGAGTGATCTAGAGGGAGGCACAGTGTGGAATTCTATCTTTACTCATGTTTCATTAAGACTAACAAGGTAGGCTGGGCGCAGTGGCTCACGCCTGTAATCCCAGCACTTTGGGAGGCCAAGGCGGGCGGATCACAAGGTCAGGAGATCAAGACCACGGTGAAACTCCGTCTCTATTAAAAATACAAAAAATTGGCTGGGCGCGGTGGCTCACGCTTGTAATCCCAGCACTTTGGGAGGCCGAGACGGGCGGATCACGAGGTCAGGAGATCGAGACCATTCTGGCTAATATGGTGAAACCCCATCTCTACTAAAAAAAATACAAAAATTAGCCGGGCCCGGTGGCGGGCGCCTGTAGTCCCAGCTACTCGGGAGGCTGAGGCAGGAGAATGGCTTGAACCTGGGAGGCGGAGCTTGCAGTGAGTGGAGATCATGCCACTGCACTCCACCCTGGGCGACAGAGCAAGACTCCGTCTCAAAAAAAAAAAAATACAAAAAATACAAAAAATTAGCCGGGCGCGGTGGTGGGTGCCTGTGGTCCCAGCTACTCAGGAGGCTGAGGCAGGAGAATGGCGTGAACCCGGGAGGCGAAGCTTGCAGTGAGCTGAGATCCGGCCACTGCATTCCAGCCTGGGGGACACAGAGAGACTCCGTCTCAAAAAAAAAAAGACTAACAAGGTAAAAAAATACGACTGGGCGCATTGGCTCACACCTGTAATCCCAGCACTTTGGGGGGCAGAGGCAGGCAGATCACCCAAGCTCAGGAGTTCAAGACAAGCTTGGCCAACCATGGCCAACCAAGCTTTAACATGGTGAAACCCTGTCTCTACTAAAAATACAAAAATTAGCCAGGCATGGTGGCAGGCACTTGTAATCCCAGCTGCTCAGGCGGCTGAGACAGGAGAATAGCTTGAACCCGGGAGGTGGAGGTTGCAGTGAACCGATACTGTGCCATTACACTCCAGTCTGGGCGACAAGTGAAACTCGGTCTCAAAAAAAAAAAAAAAAAAGTCCCATGCAGTTTGAAAGCCAGCACAGGTCTGATGGGAAACTTCAGAGGCTGGGGGCTCCTCTCAGCCATGATTTACCTGACTGCTGGTTTGTCTGGAGCTACTGCACCTGCTCACTCAGTTCACACAAAGTGTGTAACAGACGGTCCCTTACAACACCAGAGGAGAAGGCAGACACAACCTGTGAGGGCGAAAACAGTGGCCCCAGCTCGTCCTCACACTGCCTTCCACAACTGCCCCTTTCCCTAGCAGAGCTCCAACAGCCGGATTAGCTAGATCAAAAACCACGGCTCAGCCAGGTGCAGTGGCTCATGCCTGTAATCCCAGCACTCTGGGAGGTCAAGGCAGGAGGATCACTTGGCACCAGGGGTTCAAGACTACCCTGTGCAACAAAGTGAGACCCCCCCCATCTCTACAAAAAAATAAACAAAATTAGCCATATGTCATGGCATGTGCCTGTGGTCCCAGCTACTCAGGAGGCTGAGGTGGGAGGACCGCCTGACCCTGGGAGGCTGGGGTTGCAATGAGCCTGCAATGGGGCCACCGGGTGGCGCCAAGCCTGGGTGACAGAGGCAGGAAAATTTATCTGTAAAATATGTGACCTTAGACTAGATCCTGAACTGAAGGAAAGTAAATATTATACAGAACATTATTAGATCAAGTAACAAAATCAGAATATGGCAATACATTAAAGTATTCAACGAATGTTAAATCCCTGAAGTTAGCACCTGCACTGTGGTCATGCTAACAAAATCCTATTTCCAGGAATACACATTCAGGGCTGAAGGGACACGTTACTTCAAATTACTCCCAAATGGCTCAGGAAAAAATATCTGTGTAGGAGATGACGACATAAATGCAACCAAAATATCTGTGTAGGAGATGACGACATAAATGCAACCGAACGTGAGATCTCAGTAAAAAGCATACTAGCGTTCTCCTTACTCCTATATTTTTCTACTAAGTTTGAAATGCTGCAAAATGAAAGATCACCTGTACAAGGCTGGCATGGGGTGAAAAGCATAGACTCCAACAGCCGGATTAGCTAGATCATCTTTTTTCTAGCAGCTTACCTTTCACAAGGTGAGAAGTCAATGAGCTGAACCCCTTGGTGGCTGAATCTCTGAATTTGCTTGAATTTCTCTCCCCCCCATAGAGCAATGCCTCTTTGATGAAAGGTAGCCAGATAGGTGCCCTTAGGAGACCAACGCACATATGTCTCTGTCCATCTCTGCAGAAAAAGGCAGTGCCAACATTAATACAACAGAATGGCAAACACAAAGACTCCTCCTACAATGAATCTATTCTGCAAACTTTCTTTCTTTATGTTTTTTGGAAGGGAGTCTCGCTGTCTCCCAGGCTGGAGCACAGTGGCATGAGCTCGGCTCACTGCAAGCTCCGCCTCCCAGGGTCACGCCATTCTCCTGCCTCAGCCTCCAGAGTAGCTGGGACTACAGGCGCCCGCCATCATGCCCAGCTAATATTTTGTATTTTTAGTAGAGACGGGGTTTCACCGTGTTAGCCAGGATGGTCTCGATCTCCTGACCTTGTGATCCGCCCGCCTCGGCCTCCCAAGTGCTGGGATTACAGGCTTGAGCCACCGCGCCCGGCCTATTCTGCAAACTCTTAACTGAAATACACAAAGCCTGTTCACTTCTCAGGATTTACTTCAAAGCTGAAAGAGGAATAAAAGTTGTTTTCAGAAAGTAATCTCAAAGAAAATATAACATCACCTGCTCTTCCAGTTTTCTGATAGAAACAAAGTTCCACTTTGTTAAGGAAATATGGGAGAGGTGAGTCCCCGCCCCCAGCAGCAGCAAATACACACCGCTCTTTCTTCAATTGAGACAGGGTCTTTTACGTCATTCCAGAATATGGAAGTGCGGTCTCCACTCTCAAAAATCACACTGTACTGATCTCTGCATTCTGCCTCTTCAAGCCAGTAACGTAAGTTCCCCTTAAAAAAAAAAAAGGCAAGGAATATAACATTTCATTAATTTTAATAAAAAACTCATTCACAACTACTGCTCTTAAAGATGTGACAAATTCAGTCCACACCTTAACTCCCAAGTCACACTCTAACCTCAAGTCAAGACACCATCCAGCATTTCTTTTCTTTTTTTTTGAGACAGGGTCTCGCTCTGTTGCCCAGGCTGGAGTCCAGTGGCACAATCATAGCTCACGGCAGCCTCAACCTCCCAGCTCACGGTGATCCTCCCACCTCAGCCTCCCAAGTGCTGGGAAAACAGGTGAATGCCAGGTCTGGCTAATTTATGTATTTATTTACTTTTTGTAGAGAGGGGGGTCTCACTTTGTTGTCCAAGCTGGTCTTGAATTCCTGGGCTTACGCCATCCTCCCACCTCAGCCTCCCTAAGTGCTGGGATTACAGGTGTGAGCCACCACACCCAGCAGCATTTCTTTAAACCGCTGAGATGCAGGTTTCGGGCCACTCACCAGGTCTTTGAAAGGCTGTTTCTCTGGAATATCCCACTCGTCACTGATGGTCATATACCTGGAGGAGAAAGGAAACTGCTGAGCCCCACGTCCTGATGACTAGAAAGAGCACCCGTGGGGGTCCGGCATGGCCCTGCTGCGCTCCAGCCTGCCCACCCCAAGGGCTGTGACTGGCATAACGGGGAGGGGTGTTGCAGGCAAGAAGCATGGGGCAGGGCTATGAAACAGCCCTGTGGCAGCCTGACCAGAAAGGACGTGAATAACCTGACAGGCACCAGCACCCACTGAGAAGCACCAAGCCACCCACACACAGCCGCTCACTCGCACGTCAATGTCTACTTCCTTGTGGCCAAGTCTGAACTCACTTGTCAAAATCTGTGAAGAGGTTGACCCGGAACGTGTGCTGCTTGTCAAGCTTGTAGCCGTCGGCGTTCTTCACAGCATCCACAGCGTGGGCCGGGGACGCGTACTCCAGGAAAATATACCTGAGTGAGAGAGGGCCATTGGCACACGCGCACACTGTAAGGTTAGGCAGGTATGCGCTGCCTGCCCCACTCCTCTCCACGGACAAGCCCTCCGTGCCAGAAGTCTCTGTGCTACTCTTTCTGCCTCGAGCTTAAGGCAGTCACACGGGGGACAGACCCACAGCCAGGGAGCGCCTAAGTGAGGGAAACCCTAACCAGAAGATCCAAAGTCTTTAGTTTTGTTATCATAAATTATAGAAAAGTTAATCAAAAAGTCCATTATTTTTACTGTAGCAATGGTTTCGTGATATGTACACATCAAAATCTATTAAATTGTATACTTTAAAACTATGCAGATTTATTGTATATCAATTATCTCCAGAGCTGTTTAAAAAAAAGTCTTGGCCAGGCGCGACGGTTCACACCTGCAATCCCAGTACTTTGGGAAGCCAAAGCGGACAGATCACTTGAGGTCAGGAATTGGAGACCAGCCTGGCCAACATGGCAAAACCTCTCTCTATTAAAAATACAAAAATTAGCCAAGCATGGTGGTGCAAGCCTGTAATCCCAGCTACTTGGGAGGCTGGGGCAGGAGAATTGCTTAAACCTGGGAAGCGGAGGTTGCAGTGAGCCAAGATCACGCCACTGTCCTCCAGCCTGGGCAACACAGTGAGGCTCTGTCTCAGAAAAAAAAAAAAAAAAAAAAATTAAAAATAGTCTAGGCTGGGTGCGGTGGCTCACGCCTGTAATCCTAGCACTTTGGGAGGCCAAGGCGGGCGGATCACAAGGTCAGGAGATCAAGACCATCCTGGCTAACATGGTGAAACCCCGTCTCCACTAAAAATACAAAAAAAATTAGCCAGGCGTGGTGGTGGGCACCTGTACTCTCACCTACTTGGGAGGCTGAGGCAGAATGGCATGAACTCGGGAGGCGGAGTTGCAGTGAGCCGAGATCACGCCACTGCACTCCAGCCTGGGCGACAGAGCAAGACTCTGTCTCAAAAAAAAAAAAAAGGTCTAATATTATGTATTACAGGCAAGATTAGAAAGGACCTCAGAGAATGTTTCACTGTAACATGAGTAGCTGAGGGTCAAGAGGCCATCCCTTAATCGACTGCCCAACACAGAAAATGCAGCAGCATTACCTGCATTTGATAATTTTTCTAGAAACTAAAACTATTCTAGTTTTTACTTCACTTATTTTAGAGACAGTCTTGTTCTGTCACCCAGGCTGGAGCGCAGCTACGTTATCATAGCTTACTGCAGCCTCCAACTCCTGGCCTCAGGCTTCAAGAGTGTTGGGAGTTAAGGCGTAAGCCACGATGCTGGTCTATTCTAGGTAATTTAAACAAACTTTAAAACCTTAACTTAAACTTTATCATCTTCTCATTCACTGCTCTGGAGAGCTTCCAGCTGAGGGTGGCCTGAAGAAGTGAACGGCCCACGTGCCTGGGCGAGGCAGGAGCTGTGTTTGCAGGGAGCTCCTGCAACACTCCCTCATCACGACGTGCCAGACACAGATGAGACTTCTCCCACGGGAGAACACTCACCCTTTCGTCTTCCCATCCTCTTCAGGATAAAAATCATTTGTGATTTTCCCAAACTTGGAAAAGATCTTGTGGATGACATTTTTGAGCTTCTCAAGTCGGTCAGGTCCCACCTGAGGGACGTTGTCCACTACAATCACCGAATCGATTCCGTCCGCTTCCTGGGGCCGGTCTTTGAGGACATCTCCCAGTAATTCTGAACCAGAGAGAGATTTTTGAAATGATCATTTTTACCAAGAAAAATATTAATACATTAACTGAGCACACTAAACAAGTCTCCAAGAAGAGCCAATGAATCGTCTAAATGCTTCACTGTGAGCAAAAGAAATCCCAACCCTGGCTTGGTTCAGATTTTAAACACGAGTTGCGGGGACTGGAATGCTCCTCTCTCCCTTTGATGGAAATATAAACAGTCAAGATAGGTCAATTAAGTTCTGGCAATAACCAAAAACTACAAAAGAATAACAACAAAAAGATTTTACCAACGCAAAATGCAAATGAAAAAGACAGTCTAAAGAATATCCAATATTAGAGCTTCCAGAGATCCCTAGATTTTGAAAGGTTTCTAGCAACGTCTAGGCAGAATCCCATCGCAATGTCAGTGAAAACTGACTTTTTAAGGAAGATTTCAGCAAACAAGTAAATATTTAAATGCTCAGTATATTCACAGCACATTTGTGTTGTGAATACAAATTACTAGAAATTATTCAAGGAGGAACCTCTCTTGAGTGAATTGGGATGAAAGTAGTAACTCTTCTCCCACCTCCTGTTCCTGGTGATGTTCATGTTTTCAGGTCGTGTACTGGATGGCCACTCACAAGTGAATCAAGAAAAAAAAACAGAGGAAGCACGCCTGGGGTGAGCTTCCCCACCTCTCTCCACTGCAAACGGCCCATCAACAGGCACCTTCGTCCGGAACAACTCCTTGCCCAATATTCCTTATATTAAAAAGCTCTAAGGATAAACAACCAAACTGCAGGAGACAAGGACACAGCAAAGTGTTTTTCCGACTCACACAACACTCAACACAACACTTCTGACACCGGATGTGGGGCCCACATCAAGCAGTTTTCCAGGGGCCGCCAGCTGGGTGTCCTCTACTTAATTCAATTCAGACATGATCTACCAGGAATCAGCACCAGATCCCACAGGCTGAAGGCTCAGTCCCAAAGACTGGTCCCTGTTTCAGATGGCAATCGCAAGTAGTGGGCTGTCACCTCCAGTTCTGACCAACAGGCTACAAAGCAGGGCTCCCACTACCCCCCGCTTCTTGGGTTCCATTAATTTGCTACAGCAGCTTACAGAATTCAGGGAGCTAGGTTTGCCAGCTTATTATCACGGACGTTACAGATGATACGGACGAACAGGCAGATGAAGGAGAAGCGCAGAGCCTCCCTGTGCTCTCCAGGCCGCCACCCTGCAGGAGCCTCCACCTGTTCCCACACGTGGAGCCCCCGGAACCTGGTCCTTTTTGGTGTCTAGGAAGATCTCATTACGTGGGCATAATTAATGACATCACTGAGCACCGGTGATCAACTCAACTTTCAGCCTCTTCCTTCTGGGGGGCAGGGGGAGCCCTAAAAGTTCCCGCCCTCTAATCACGTGGTTGGTTCCCTGGCAAGGAGCCCCAGCCATCAATCATCTCACTTGTCTACAAAAAGACACTTATCACTTTGGAGATTCCAAGTGTTCAGACGTTGTGTGCCAAGAACCAGGGCAGAGCCCAAATACACATTTCTTATTATATCACAAAGAGCCTTTTAGAAAAACACTATCAGGGCAGAGACCTGCACTTAAACTAGGAGACTGGAGAATATACAAGTTTCTGAAACAGCTTTTTTTTTTTTTTTAAGAGACAGGGTCTTGTTATGCTCCCCAGGCTAGCCTTGAACTCCTGGGCTCTAGCAACCCTCCTGCCTCAGCCTCCCAAGTAGGAGGGACTACAGGTGGGAGCTGCCATGCCCACAGAGTTTAAGTAACAGTATTTTTTTCTCAGTGGTACGTGAAGCTGTCCTCAATGTGATGAAATGCCTCGCAGGGCTTTTGGAAAGCATCACATAGTCAGAATTCAGGACAAGGCCAAGCTCAGTGGCTCACACCTGTAATCCCAGCATTTTGGGAGGCCAAGGCAGGCAGATTACTGAGGCCAGGAGTTCAAGACCGGCTTGGCCAACATGGTGAAACCCTGTCCCTAATAAAAATACAAAAAAAAGGCCGGGCATGGTGGCTCAAGCCTGTAATCCCAGCACTTTGGGAGGCCGAGACGGGCGGATCACGAGGTCAGGAGATGGAGACCATCCTGGCTAACATGGTGAAACTCTGTCTCTACTAAAAAAACAAAAAAAAAAACTAGCCGGGCGAGGTGGCGGTGCCTGTAGTCCCAGCTACTCGGAAGGCTGAGGCAGGAGAATGGCGTAAACCCGGGAGGCGGAGCTTGCAGTGAGCTGAGATCCAGCCACTGCACTCCAGCCTGGGCGACAGAGTGAGACTCCGTCTCAAAAAAAAAAACAAAAAAAAAGATCCAAGCATGGTGGTGGGCGCCTGTAATTCCAGCTACTTGAGAGGCTGAGGCAGGAGAATTGCTTGAACTCAGGAGATGGAGGCTGCAGTGAGCCAAGATTGCGCCACTGCACTCCAGCCTGGGCAACAGAGTGAGATTCCATCTCAAAAAATAATAGTAATTTCAACATACTAAATATGCAGATGCCAGAAAATATTCTTCGCTTTATTTATCTCAAAAGTTGGCCGGGCATGGTGACTCACTCCAGCCTGGGCGACAGAGCAAGACTCCGTCTCAAAAAAAAAACACACAAAAAAAACTTTCAGAAATATTAAAAATTGACCAGGCATGGTGGCTCACGCCTCTAATCCCAGCACTTTGGGAAGCTGAGGAAGGCAAATCACTTGAGGCCAGGAGTTGGAGACCAGCCTGGCCAACATGGTGAAACCCCGTCCCTACTAAAAATACAAAAATTAGCCAGGAGTGGTGATGGGTGCCTATAATCCTAGCTGTTCAGGAGGCTGACGCAGGAAAATCGCTTGAACTGGGGAGGCAGAGGCTGCGGTGAGCCACTGTACCCCAGCCAGGGCAACAGAGTGAGACTCCATCTCAAAAAAAAAAAAAAAAAAAAAGGAAATATTGAAAATACTACCTTAAAAAATAATCTCCATTTTATTTTCAAAGATGCTAAAATTGAGAGGAACAAGAGATTTAAAAAAAAAAAAAAAGGGAAAAAGGCAGTTGCCAGTCACTGCAGTGCTGGACACCCTGCTGTGGAAACTAGTCAAATCCCAGGATAACTTCTAAAGCACTTACCATACAATTAAATGGCCTGACAAGCCTGATCTGAATTTATAAGGCTTGCAATAAAAAGCTTAGCTTTTACACAAACTGCGTACTCCTTCCCACAAGCTCAAAGCGTCTAGTCTAGGAGAACCAGCCCACATCTAGGAAGGAAACAAATGTAGTAACTACACCATGAAGACACATCGCCTTGATCACTCTCGGCCCAAGCATCAGTGACACGTGGCTCACAGACTCCCAACCTGTCTCCAGGAAAAAAAGAAGAGAACAATTCTCAACACTAAATAGCAAACAGAAAGAATAATTAATAATGGAAAAAAGACATTTAGAGTTAAAATCCTGATCAGCTGAAACATTAAACTGAAAGGATGATTACAGTTTGAGATGCTAATCTGCGCCCAAAAGTAAGAAGGCAAGACAGGGACTCCGGGCCACCTTTGGTCTGCTCCTTGGAAGACTCGGCCCTTTTGGAAAGAACTGATACACTCATATACTATCTGGAAGACTCGGCCCTTTTGGAAAGAACTGATACACTCATATACTACCTGGAAGACTCGGCCCTTTTGGAAAGAACTGATACACTCATATACTATCTGGAAGACTCGGCCCTTTTGGAAAGAACTGACACACTCATATACTATCTTGCACACTGACCCTGAAGGGCAGCTCTTCTCATAACGCACACAACCCACCTGCGTTACCACAACCAGGCGGGCCATGACAAAGCCTGCTTGCTGAGCCTTAGTCCTCAGGACCAGATGCCTCACCTGTCACTCTGGCCAACACTGCACCTTCAGGGCCACGTGGGACCCCTGAGGACCCACAGTCATCACCCAGCCTGGCGAACCTTGTGGTCATATTAGCATCCACTAACTCTTCCCAATTCCAGAAATAATTTACACATTAGAAATCTGTGAATTCGATGGGCTCAAATAATACTTTTAAAAAAATAGCAGAATTTCCAAGGGCTCAAAATAATCATTAAACCAAAAGTTTTGATTTTAAACTATAACAACAACTGAAGTGTTAGAAAGAACACTGTTCTGCCGGGTGCGGTGGCTCACGCCTGTAATCCCAGCACTTTGGGAGGCCGAGGTGGGCCGATCACAAGGTCAGGAGATCCAGACCACGGTGAAACCCCGTCTCTACTAAAAATACAAAAAATTAGCCAGGCGCGGTGGCGGACGCCTGTAGTCCCAGCTCCTCGGGAGGCTGAGGCAGGAGAATGGTGTGAACCCGGGAGGCGGAGCTTGCAGTGAGCCGAGATCGTGGCCACTGCACTCCAGCCTGGTAGACAGGGCGAGACTCCATCTCAAAAAAAAAAAAAAAAAAAAGAAAAAAAAGAAAAAACACTGTTCTGAGCAGGAGAGTCTGGTGAGCCACGCACAGCGAACCCACTGCGAATTCTCAGCAGCCTACTCCACCTTCAGGGACACATTTCCTCAGGACTGAGGGGCGCAGACTAGATGTTCCCAAAGTCTTCATTAGTTTGTGGTGTTCTTCCTGTTTTTCATGCTAAAATGTCTTCTATGAAAAAAAAAAGTGTAATATAATAATGGCCACAGTAACTGACAGCCTTTTTATTTTTTAATTTTTCACTTTTTGAGACAGGGTCTCACTCTGTCACCCAGGCTGGAGTGCAGCGGTGGGATCTTGGCTCACTGCAACCTCCACTCCTGGGCTCACGCTATTCTCGTGCCTCAGTCTCCCAAGTGCCGGAGACTACAGGTGTGCACCACCACACCTGGCTGATTTTTGTATTTCTGATAGCCTTTTAAAAATACGTTTCAATTATAAGTTGGCAACTCCACGTTATTCCCTAAATTGTCTTGGTGTATATCTGGCTGCGTCAGCAAGGGTATTTTTATTTTTCTCACTCCAGTATTAACTTAGCCAATCCGCAGAGGCTGATGTGTTTCTCAACTTAAAGGCTTAAGAGAGCTAAAAACAAAAGAAAAACAAATGAGACCAGCTCTCATCAGAAGTCACTTTAGGAAAAGAGCTCTCTGAGACAGGAAGCAGAAATATGCCTGTAAATCCAATCAAGGTTGAGACGAAGGCAAAGCAGGCTGTTATCAACAATATTAAAACCTGGAAAAATAACTCGCCTTACAGGTTTAGCAGAGGGGATAAAGGAGAACCAAACTGGAATTTGACAGGGTCTGCCTGTACCATTAGGGAAGTCTCCTGGAGATGGACAATTGTGCGGGGCAGGAGGACAAAATCACCGGCTCTGCGACAACCTGTTCCTCCGATCCAAACCTTGGGAGGTCTGACTGGTCAGCTGGGACACGCAGACCCGCAAACCTGACACTGGGTCTTCGGTTTTTGCCGTAACCCCAGCTGCTACACTCACAGCACACCCAGCCAGAACAGAGTACCCCGTGTGCCCTCTCCCACCCTCTCAGATTTCCGGTTGTCATGCAAATCCCGGGCTCACGAAGTTAGCTCCATCCTGTCCCCTTTTTTAGGAAAGAAAAGGGGAGGCGCTGAGGTCTCAGAACGTCTCTAGGGCACTCGGGAACCCCTCCCTCGGTGGCTTTCCAGGAACACACGGACACCCTCGCTGGAACTTCTGCACGAACCAGTGGCACAGCCCGACGACATCTCCCACCTCCGGAATCCCAGTCACGCTCCCGCGCCGCTCGCCAGCCCTGCCCCGGGCGCCCTCACCTTCCTCGCTCACGTCGTCCACGAAGTCCTCGGGGTCGCTGAAGGAGGGCTCGTCCGCGTCGCCGTTCTCCAGC